CGTATGCTGTGGCGAAGTGATCGCCGCTGTGCTTGTGGAACTGAGATAGTTGCTGCAGCGGGGACCCTCAGATCGTCGCTGTGTATAACGACCTGAGTATTGAAGCTGCAACGACGATCTGAATGGTGGTTTGTGGTGTTTTTTGAGGTGATTTTGTAGTGGTTTTTGAGGTGGTTTGGTAGTTGTAGTGGTGGTTACATGTTCATAGAGTGTATGTTGAATACTATGTCAATATTTGCTAGTGTTGTTCACATGTACAGGTCACAAAGTCAATGTGCATTGGTCATATATAAATTTCCATAGGTCATAGATCATGTTTACGTATCAAAGGTCACACTCTATAGGTCACTAGTCACACAGCACATGTCACAAATCAATGTCAATGGGTCACAGATCAAAATTAAATGGTCACAGATCATATATCACTTATCTTTATGCACCGATAATAAGGTACAAATTTAAAGTTCACAGGTTATAGTTCATATGTTACGGTCACATGTAAAAGTTCGCATGTAACACATTGCATATGTAACAAATTAATGTTCACATGTCATAGATTCAAGAGAATTGATCACAGTCTATTGGATCAATATCACATGTCACATATCATAGTGCACATGTCACAAATTCAAAGGAACCAGTCATAGGCCATTAATTTATCCAACCTTAATTGTTACTGTTTCCATAAAAAATTCTAATACAGTGCCCACAACTTTCAATTTGAGATTTCGATGATGAGAATCAAAGTTATTTGCTTCGGTGAGTTCTTTATAAATTCTCTCTTTGTTAGATCTTCTAATACACAGTGCCAAAAACTTTCATGTGACCTCAATAGTTCGGTGAATTTCAATTAACCAAATTTTGGCGTGAGAATAAGAATTATTTGCTTTGGTGAGTTCTCCGTAGATTCAATTTTTTTCCGATCTTATAATACCTGACGACTTTCAATTTGTGACCTCAATCGTTAGGCTGGTTTCAATTAACCAGATTCCAACAATGGGAATCAATGTTATTTGCTCCGATGAATTCTTTGTTCAATCATCACCATTAAAATGGAGTTTTGTTTGAAATGGAAACATGTGCAACTGAATATTTGATTTTAAAAATTAAAATCTAATTCAATGTATACTATATATATTATTTACCACCTGGCTTCGAATTTTTAAACTTTGTTTCTAAAAAATGAAATTTAGCCTCCATTTGGTAGGCATTAAAATTAAAAAAAGAGTCGTTGGGCTCATATTCCAACCAATTTTTTTGACTTTTTATCTCTATGGTGGGTTCCAGGTTGGCCTACTAACGATCACATTTTTTCTACAAACTTTCATTTTAATGCCTACCAAACAGGAATATATTAAACACCTGATTTATGTACTTTTCCCGAGTATGCTTTCTCTATGTCATTCGAGATGGGCTTCTTGGCCAATTTCATTTTGGACATTAGCTTTTTATAGTAAGGAAATTATGCATAGCATTGTGTTTTTTATATTAAGAACATCTCTAATAGATTTTCTATTTTTAAAGACTATATTCTATCATTTGGAGAGTATCTATAAATTTAGAGAACTAAAATTTTGAAATACTCCAACAAACTCTTTATATTTAACACTTAATTTTACTATTCCAGGAAAAAATTAATTATTTTTGTTTATATTTTATTTTAACTAGTTTTTTTTAAAGATTATTTTATTGAGAGTGAATTTGACTCTCTAAATTTGGAGAATCAAACACACTCTAACTTAACATGTTAATTTAAAGACTCTTCTGAAGTATAATTTTAAATGTTAACTCTTTCAAATAAAGAACTCATGTTTAAAGAGCCTCTTAGAGATACTTTAAGGATGTTAACTTTCTTTCTAACATATATTGTCTTTATAAATTTAGAGAATTAAAATTTTGAAATACTCCAACAAACTCTTTATATTTAACACTTAATTTTACTATTCTAGAAAAAAAACTAATTATTTTTGTTTATCTTTTATTTTAACTAGTTTTTTTTTTTAGATTATTTTCTTGAGAGTGAATTTGACTCTCTAAATTTGGAGAGTCAAAGACACTTTAACTTAACATGTTAATTTAAAGACTCTTCTGAAGTATAATTTTAAATGTTGACTCTTTAAAATAAAGAACTCATGTTTAAAGAGTCTCTTAGAGATACTTTAAGGATGTTAACTTTCTTTTTCTAAAATATATTGTATTCTATTGCCAGCCGAATATGTCATTGATCGGCAACTTCCCCATCTTCACCTATGCCTCCAACACCACCTTTTAGCCTTCGGCTACAACCATCGTCCATCATCATCTCACTACGAATCTGGATTAAACCACCACCATCCGCCTCTATACATCCCGTCGCGGATTGTGACCACCACCATAAACCATTACCAAAATTCTTGTAGGTTTTGAAATTTATTATTTAGGCAATAGAGTACAAATAAAAATACAATATGGAATATAATTTCCATTTAATGTTCATCGTAATTTGGGCCCATCTTGCTTGTAACAGCTTTATCTTACAATCTAGACGGATTTAGCTTTTCGACTGATTCCTAAATTAGTGGGGCGACTGAATGAACATAATGCAGGGAAGCGGTGTTAATTCTGGAGTATCTCCTTTCAAACAATCTGACATAATTACCTTAAAAATCTACACAGTGTAACAGTATGATCAACAAAATAAAAAATGAATTCAAGCCTACCGACTTCACGAAATTTCCTTAAAACGAATTTGATGCCTTCAAAAGGTGTTTAAGGCGTCCAGCAATCATTTCCCAAGATATAACGAATTTCGTCTCCTAGGGAAGCAGCATAGCAATCTGTAGGAGTTCTAGCGAACTCAATGAAGTGTATTTACTTTGGAAATAATATCAGAACGAGAGAGAGAGAGAGGGAAAATAAGATTCAATGTAGAGAATAATAGCAATGAAAATGGTGTAATGATATTGGCAACGGGGCAGACTATTTATAGAATTATTCGTGGCCATTCGAACACCCATCAAGCCACTTCAGAACAGTCG